TTGCATTTCTTGCAGAAATAAATGCTGTTTGATTAACTCACATAACATACAGTAACAAGAAAAAGCACATTGTCTCTTTGATGTCTTTTGTCAGCTCTACAATGGTCAGCGTTGACTTTACCACTTCATCCATGATGAGAGCCTTCTGTTCCACCACATCTCAAACGGTCTGGACAGGACTGAGATCTGGTGTCTATGGAGGTCATTGGAGTCAAGTGATCTCCTCGTCATGTTCTAGAGACCAATTAGAGATGAGCTGAGCTTTGTGACATGGTCCATTATCCTGCTGAAAGCAGCCTTCAGAAGATGGGTCCATGTGGTCATAAAGGGATGGAGATGGTCAGCAACAATACTCAGGTAGGCTGTGGTGTTTAAACCAGGCTCAGGTGGTACTCATGGGTCCAAAGTGGGCCAAGAACATCTACCCCACACCAAGGCAAAATGGATCCACACTCTAAAAATGAAATGTTGAATTAGCTTTACCAAGTTATGTCAACTGGTTCCACTAAACTTAGTTGCTTAAATGTAAAGAGTAAAGTACATTTATTTAACAGGACAATGTATATTACTCTTTACACTTAAGCAACTAAGTTTACTGGAACCAGTTGGCATAACTTGGTTAAGCTAATTCAACATTTCATTTTTAGAGTGTGGATCCATTTAGCCTTCTGGTGATCCTGTGTGAATTTCCTTTCTTAGGCTGAGAATCGTAGCTGACAGGAGTGAAATCTGCTGTAATCTTCTGCTGGTGTAGTCCATCCACCCTTTTTTATTCAAATCTTCTCTGATCTACAAAACTGCAGGGTTAAATGTTGTTGCTTTTAAGCTTAATATATTACCTTTACTTATGACCAATAAGATGTGATGTTCGATATAAATATAGAACATTAACCTGCTTGGTCTTTGAATGTTTAATCAGAAGATTCTAGGATTATTTGCCTTTTCAGGAATCAAACTCACTTCGTATCAATTCAGACAGAGTCAAGTTTATAAAAGGTAAGAAATTTATTTTCTAAACAGTTAAAAACATGGCAAGTTAACTAAGGCTACTGTGATGGATGAATCTAAGTGGATGGAGTGTGATGTATGGTAATTGAATGGTGTGTTTTATCAGAACCTTGTATCTAGAAGAACTGGGTTCTGGGTGTGGAAAGAATTTGGTCTGTATTAAACCAGGAAGTTGGTTCTTATCAAAACGGCATTAGACGCAATCATGCTGTGTCTACCTCACCCTTTCTTTGGAGACCCTCTTTGCGGATCCGGAGGTCAGGGAGGTCGGATGACCTGTGGGCACCGAGATTCAGTAGATTAACCGCAGCTCCGACACTCCAGTCCAGAGATGTCACCAGGCACAACAGTTTGGAACTAGTTTGCATCTAGAACAGCTGTTTCGGAACAGCTGAAGGAACCATTTTGCTGTGTCATCTGTAGGCAGCTTTTAGCTTGTCGAAAGCTTGTCAAGAGATGCAGTGGTTATAGAGTTTCCTCCGGTGGCCAGTCTGGAGTTCTGCTCAAACTAAAAGAATGCTGAATCACTCTGCAAGTGACCCTGTTTTAATATTCTCATATTATGATTTACCTGGCCAATCGGGACAAGCCATGTTAACAAACAAACCTCAGAACACCACGCCTTCTGTCAGATACAGGATGCTCTGATTTGTGGGTAAGAAAATATCTATGTGAACATTGTGTGTGAGTGTAGATAATGATTCACTTGTTAAATCAAACATTACTGATCATAATATCAAAGTTTTTTATTGTAATAATAAAATTCATTTCAACCACAGTAATTTAAGCACAGATCAATCAAAACATTCCATTTAATCATATCGTTCATTTCGTTTCATGATTAATCAACTCATATGAGCTGAAAACGTTCACTTTATTCAGAGGCATGAGGAATCCTGTAGAAGCGATAAGGGAAGCTTAGGCCTTGAAACGGGAACAGTTTGTTGACAATATGGTATAATGCGTTCAGAGCTAGATAATCTTCTAGGATTGTTGGAAGACAGAATGTAAAATCCACCTTAGAGAAGGGAATTTATGTCTGCAGATGACCGGTGGCATGAAGCTCAATATGTAGGTGAAAACTGACCAATTCTGGACATTACAAAACCAACACAAGTACAGCTCACTGGATATTTTCTCCCTTTTGAATCATTCTCTATAATTATTGGAGATGGTTGTGGGTGCAAATCCCAGTAGATCAGCATTAATTCCTCATTCTGATGCTCAGTTTGAGCCTTATCAAGTTGAGCCTCTGCCATGTGATTGGATGAACAGATTTTTGTGTTAAAAGTAATTGAACAGGTGTTCTAATAAAGGACACTGCAAAAACTGATTTTCTAGAAGGTAAAATAAAGCCTTGTTTTGAGATATTTTATGTTGTTTTTAGTCTGGCCAATTCTAGCCAAGCCACATTTGCCGTCGGCAGATTTATTAATTTTTTACTCAAAAGAGAAAGTTTGGATCACATTTTGGAATATTTACCTTACTTCAAGATGAGAAAAATGTATTTTTTTAAGGATAAAACATTTAAAAACTTTCTTGAAAATCGGTTTTTGCGGTGTAGCGAGTGTGTTCTCAAAAGAATCAACTAGACTTGGTTGGTGAAAACCAGCAAAACAGACTGTTGTGTTTGTCTAAAATATTTTAAATTACAACATGAAGGAATATAAATTCTCACCCTAAGTTTTTTATACTTAAAGTGCCAGGGTGTATTTTACCTGGCAATAGGGGGCAATACATCTAAATCACTGTAAGAAAACACTATTTTTGTGTTTAAGTAGGACCTTACCAACAGATGGGCATTAGGGTCAAAAATCACTGGGAGTGCAATTTTCGAACGAGTACTTCGTCAGATCATTCAGCCTCTAGCAAAATGACAAGCACATCAGACTCCCTCTCATCACTGGCAACAAGTGAAGAGGTAAATTAGTAAAGTAGCAACATTTATGAACTGCAAACATTTTGTAACCGCTTGTTACAAATCAGTAAATGCATTTTGTCCTCACAGGCTCCAGTAGAAGGTAACATGGCGTCTAATACGGCGTCACCCAGAGACTTAGACCATGCATTTTAGACCCGATTTGTGTGGTTACATGTTATGAAGCCGCCAATATTTTTTCCCAATTAAGCATAATTAAATTCCTTTTCAACAACATTTCGATTATTATTTCCAGAAAATAATGATAAAAATGACATATTGTTTCTTTAAACTCATATTCTGTATTATTTTGGTGTCATAAATAATATATTGCTCAACACTTGTGGTTTCTAGTAGGAATGAATGCCTTGTAAGTCGTACTCAGGGGAAAAATGCTCTGGTACTCTGTTGCTTTGCGAGCCACGTCTAAGGGGAGGTTCAGAAGGCAGAATTTGGACATCTCACTGATTTGCTTGCAGCAATGCGTCTCTACCAATGACTCAATTAGCTCTGCCACATTGATGTTTTACCGCCACAAAAAAACTTAGGCCTGCAGGAGTTGTGTTGTGTGGTGGAGTTGCTAATGCTAATGGTTAGCTTCTACTAGTAGAGGCGTTCTCTGCTGATTCCTGGACGCTAAACCAACAACAGCCTTCCCCGTTGTGAGTCAAGATGGGTGAGTACATCAATGTTAAGCAACAGTGTGAGGTTGATCTGACAGCCTTTTCAAATCCTGTTTCATCATCTATTTTCTATCAGAAGCTAATGCAGGAGATAGGTGTAGGAGACTATTTTCATGTTGTACCTGCATGAAAAGCTCAGAGTGACTGATCGTAATCAGATATTATCATTAAAAATTTGTTTTTTTAGTGTTCCACACTTTTAAAAATGTCTCTTTTAGCACCTTCAACTGCAGTTTAGCAACAGTACCTGTAACCTTGTGAAACATCCTTCCTTCCTATACATGACATAAACACATTCACTCTAATTCACTAATAGGTGCAATGAACACAGTCTGTGACCAAATAAAGTCAAAGGGTTAATAAAACAAAAAGGAATGGAATTTGTCATCAACATAAAGAGACCCTGAAGTGCAACACAGCAACGTTTCACAAAGAACAACAGCAAAAAAGGAAACACCAGGACCGGAAGCAGGAAACAAACAGGAAATAACTTTAACCTGTTGGAACAAACTCAGGTCCAGTCTAATCACAAACGAGATCTGTCTCTGATCTTTCAAGGGGGAAAAAAAGCTTCACTTATTTTTAACTACCACAATTTTTGTTATGGCACTTCATGGGCTCCATATAATTTTTTATTTGACATTTGAGCTTTTAAATCTGTATATTATTAAGTAGGAGAGGAGAATATATTTAATATGAATTTTGACTCAGCATTTAAACGTCCAGATTTGTGTAGGTTCTATTGTCTTATATGTCATATTTATTTGCTGGTGATCATTTTATTTACAAAGACAGCTTCATCATAAAAGTTATTAAGTCACTTAGGAAATTGAACAGGAATAAAAAATTAAATATTAATAACCCCTGTAGAAATGTGCAGACCAAATGCAATTATGTGCAAGTTTCAGGTCAAAAGGACACAAAGAGGGAAAACAATATCTCGGAAGGACACATTTTATTGTAATTTTCTAGGAGATACAATTTCAACCTTAAAACAATAAATGGCGTGTCATAACCTCTGTTCGGGACACAGATGGGTTCTGCAATAATAAATGAATAATGAGCCACCTCATAATTGTTTTTTAATCCACGTGTTGAGTGATAAAATAAGCACCAGTTGAAGGCAACCATGCGTAAAAGGGATGAAACCGGGCCATACCAATGACAAAAACGTCGATCAGGGTAGAATTAGACGAGAATGACCAGAATATTCTGTTAAAACATTGAAAATTGTCTTTAAAAACCTGATTTTTACCTGTTCAACCCACATAGTTAATGTCAGATCACAAAGTGGAGAGAGTATAGGTCCTCGCTTTCGCTGCGTTGTCATTGGTCCGTCTGCTGAACTCGTAACGTTAAGCGCCCCCATATAAACCCATGCAGGCTTGACATCGGTGCGATCTGTCATGCAAGTCAAACGGATAGAGGGGAGAAGCGTGTAGAGAAAGCCCCAACAGCAGCAGCATACTTGTTCCAGCCTAGATCAGTCCTGCAGAAGCTCCTGGAGCGCCGTTCCTGCATGAAATAAAGCAGGAAGTGTCTCTCTGTCCGTTTAGTTGTCAGAGCTTCTGCGCTTAGAGGAAGATGCTTTTGAGGACCGGACTTTTTCTCCTGATGTTGGTGCTGAATGCATCTGCACATGAACTGGATCAGAACGAGTCCTATTCGCCCAGGAGAGCCCGGTTTTCTGTCAGTAGCCCTTGTAAGTACCACGCTGCTTCCACCAGAGCGCGTTGCTCTTTATTTCCCTGGGTTTCCTTCGCGTAATTTAGCCAATCTGTGTTTGCATTCCTCCTTTTGTGGTATGTTTTTATATTTTGGCCTATGCCGTTTTATTTTCTATGAATAAGCTCGCTGAATCACGGGATTATTTTTTTTTTTTTTTTTGCCGGTCTCCTGCTGGCAACAGATGATCATGGAGCTTGGTGCTGACACCTGAGAGCGCAGGCTGTGTCATGCTGTTAGTCTCTGCCTGCTGCACGCAGTCAGCATGGTGGTATACTATTAGGGGATTTCAGTGCATAAAACACATCCTTCCTGTGTAGCCTTCCCGTGGAGCTTTGAAGTCAGAAAAAAAGAAGTAGGTTACACCAATGTACTCTTTCCCCTCTCAGTTTGCTTAAGTAGAAGCTATACTATGTAAAGAAATGGCAGTCATTTATAAATAGCATTGCAAAGCATGCACCTGCTTTTAATTTGTGAATTTCCTCCTTTTTACACAACCTGCAGCTCTGATGAAGGGATGCTCATTCTCTTCTGCAGAAAATTGCTTCATCATCACAAGATTTGCAGCTCACGCTCTTAATTTTGTAAGCTGTCTTTGGTTTCCTTTAGGGAGGCAGACTTTCTCTGGCTGGTAAGGTCAAGGAAAGGCCCCAGATTCAGACACTGTCTAATAGCTGTTAGCATTTGAGTCAGGTTGTGCTCAATTTCTTTGAATTCTCTGATAAAGAAAACCTCAACCTTATGGATTAATGGAATATGTCATATAGATTTTGTCTATTCTGTATGTCCATTCAGTTTATGACACATAGATGCAGAGACTGAATAACACTGCAGGGTGGCTGTTGTGAAGCATTTGACGATTGCTGTTACTGGTGGGCTAATAATTATTCCAGTCATGTGAAACTCTGAAAATGAGAAAACAGGAAACATTTCTTAATGCATCTAATCAATGCTGATCATCTGGGTTTACAAGTCATGTAAAAAAAGGCCTTTATGATAGACTTGTGTGAGTGCAAGGGTGTGCAAGGATATATTTTTGCATCTCTTGTTGGCATGCCAACAATGTTCAGCGCAACCCTTTGGTATTTCTGGTGCTGTTCATCTGAAAAGAACCAAATAGTGGAATAAAAGTCCCTGCCAAGAGAAACAGTGCAGCAGTGCCAAATCCTGTCAGAGATTCTTGGAGCTTTAAGGTTTCCAAAAAAACTCCAGACAAGTCACTATTGGTCATGAGTGACTGTACGTCTTTTGTGAATCACCAAAGGATGAAACTTCCTTCTTTTGTTGGCTTATTTTGTTTTAAATCTGAATCCCTGGCAACCCTTGTGTAATGAGCTCAGTGACTCTCAGTGACCCTGCTGCTGTCTCCCATGCTGATGGTTCATTCTCTGTGCACACAGCAGATGTGGCACGCTGTCTCAACAGTGCCCTCCAAGTTGGCTGCGGGGCCTTCGCCTGCCTGGAGAACTCAACTTGTGACACAGATGGTTTGCACGACATCTGCAAGTCCTTCCTGTTCAGTGCTGCTAAATTTGACACTCAGGTAAGCCGTTTTTGATTCACTGTGCTATTCTGTGTGTTGGGTAGGGTTACATGGGTGTAACTGTCCAGGTGAGAAGGTGTGCAGCACGGTTGTTTTCTGTTACAGGGTAAAGCGTTTGTAAAGGAGAGCCTAAAGTGCATCGCCAATGGCATCACCTCCAAGGCGTTCCCAACCATCCGCCGCTGCTCCACCTTCCAAAGAATGATAACTGACGTCCAAGAGGACTGTTACAGCAAGCTGGACATCTGTAGTGTTGCCCGATCGAATCCAGAGGCTTTTGGTGAAGTGGCACAGCTGCCAAGTCATTTCCCCAATAGGTGAGCTCTCCCCACTCTTTTAGTATAAACATTGTAAAAAGTGATCAACTGGCCCTGTGAGCCAAGAAAAAATGGACAGAGAAATGTAGTTTTTATTTCTTTCTTTTAAACAAATGAAAGAAAATCAAACAGGAATATCAAGTTTGAATGTTTTTGTTCGTTTAGCTGTAAAACATGCTGGATTGTAGTCTGGGAGTGGACAGTAAACAAATGGAGGGTGGAACACAGGGTGCCTTTCAGCTACAGCTTGGTTCCTCCCCAATGTATGACATCATCACATTATGTTTCCATGTATTTTTCTCTGTAGGTTTTACGGCAAGCTTCTACAGAGCCTTGTGGACTGTGATGAGGACACGGTGGACCGCATCAGGACCAGCATGGTGTCACGG